ACAGACAGACAGACAGACAGATAGATAGACAGACAGACAGATAGATACACAGACAGACAGACAGATAGATAGATAGACAGACAGACAGATAGAACGACAGATAGACAGATAGATAGATAGATAGACAGACAGATAGAACGACAGACAGACAGATAGATAGATAGATCTCGTTTCCACCGAGCGGTACGTTCAGTACAGTACGGTACGCAATTATTTCCGTTTCCACTGTCAGAAGTTGTTAATGGTACCAATAAAGCGAACCGTACCACTTTTTTGGGACCCTTCCGTTGGGGTACCTAATGGGTGGAGCTAGACTCACTGCAGAACGCTGATTGGTTGACAGAGAATCGTCACTTGCGCGTGCTACAAGGGGAATGAAGCGTCTCCTTCACTTGTTCCGCCATGCTGCTCATGCATGTTGGGCTTGTTTACATCAGTGCGCAAACACAAAAAGTAAAACAGCGTATTTTTGAATTTTATATTTTCACACAGACAATGTCGTGCTTTCTTCTTCGCGAGAATGACATCGATCTCTACTTTTCGGCATACATCACACGCCTGCAGCAAGCCAGATCAGGGTGTACCGTCCCGGATCATACTGTACTGTACCGTACCGCTCGGTGGAAACGAGGCTATAGATAGATAGATAGATGGATGAGTGAGTTTGACGTTACCAGAGTCCAGCTGTTGCTCCTCCTCCTCCGGCAGGAAGTGGGCGGGGCCCTGGTGGGCTTGAGGGGCGTCGTCTCCGTTGTCCTCGTATACATTGGACCATTTGATGGCCATGTCCATTCCATCAGGAGCTCCCTTCTTCTTCTCCTCCGTCACGTACGACTGTGGGGGAGGAACGGCGTTGTTCTTCCACACCTTAAACTGCTTAGGAGGCTGAAACGTTCAGAGTAAGTGATAAAATGAAGATTAAAAATCATAAAAATCCCATAGACTTACACTGACAGAATGTTCAAATGAGCCAAGACTATTCAAACTCCAACTGTCAAAATTAAAATTTAAACTCCCAGAATCCCTTGAGACTCAATCAAGCATCCCTTCAACCTAATATTTCTAATCAATCTATCTATCTTTAAAACTACTTTAACCTTCAAACCTCTAGCTCTGAAAACTTTTTAAAACTTTCTGGTCTGGCTTTCTCAAGTCAACTTCAAAGTAGGGCTGCACGATTCTTGCTAAAATGTGAATCACGATTTTTCTCCATGGGAATTGAGATCACAATTCTCTTACACGATTCTCATTTTTTCAACCAAAATTTATTGCACTCAAGTACAAAAAAAAAACAAAAAAACCCCCAGGACTAGAGCTGCACGATTCTGGATAAATTGAGAATCACGATTTTTGTGTGTGTCTCAAATAGAGATCACGAATCTCCCACGATTCTGATCAGGCGCGGATGGGCCATCGGGAGAACCGGGACTATTCCCGGTGGCCCGGCGGCCGATTTGGCCCGCTATTTTAATATTATTATTGAATAATTGCCTGCCGAATGTACTAAAGCGATTATTTCCGAATTTGCCATTCGATAATTAAATCTCTAATAAATCATGAATCGGTTAGTCGTGACTGG